CTTTCTCTTTGGAGTGTTACAAGCTCTTGGTGCATAAAGAAGATCTGTAAAGTTGCAAAGACTAAAGTCTCAAATCCAAAGAGATATTCTTTATAAAAGTTAAGAGTCAACCACGCCTACCTAAAACGGCTCGTTCTAACACGCCCCCACATGTCTACGTCACAATGTGAGAAGATTTGCATAACGCCGCCCAAATGTTCACGCAAAGAAAGAAGGCGTAACTTTTATTCTCGCTGTAGTATTGTTGCTGCCGCCATGTCGTGGAGTCACTGTGTGTTTCGTTGTGAAAGCGGAGTCCAGCCCGGGGCCGTCACATGTGGTTGCTGCAAGCCTCCTTCGTCGAATCCGCCGGCCACGCTATTCGCAAGCCCGCCTGCCGCCTCTCACTCTAGCCAGCCGTGTGTGACGCTGCGTGTTTCGTTGTGAAAGCGAAACTACTTAGTTTGGTCTTCCAAAAGAGGACAGGACTAGAAATAAGTGGTAAAGTTGTATTTACAACACTGTTCCAGAACAGTTCAACCCAAATATTCAGATGTGTGCAGTGCATTTTATGGAAGACAGTTTCCTGATCCTGGTAGAGTAGACTACAATGCCGGCTGTTCTGACTCACAGAGTGTAAGTACATTTTCATATTTAAAGAATTTGCCACTGATGATTCAAATGTGAGTTTTGAGCAGTGTAGAGTAGCGCTTGTTGTTTGTCATTTCTCCGATCACAAATGAAGACACGGTTTTATGTTTACGCGGCGTGATGCAACGCAACGCGTAAAAAGACAGTAGAAGTCATTATAATCCGTATTTATGTCCCCACTGGATGCAACAAATGCCTAGTTTATAATGGGTTTTAATGTTTTTGTCTCATCGCCCCGGCCTGACAGGGCATCACAATATGGTAAGAGGCGTAACATTTCCGTCACACGCTTGAGGTATTCGGCCAATCACAACGCACTGGATAGCTGGCCAATCAGAGCACACCTAGCTTTTCAGACCGATGAGCTTTGTAAAAATCGACGCGTTTCAGACAGGTGGAGCATAGAGGAGAAACAAAAACAGTATTACAGTATGTGGAAAATAATGTGGGTTTTTTTTACCTTAAACCGCATAAACACATTTCATTACACCAAATACACAAAATAATGTTCTTTTTAGCAACATCATATGACCCCTTTAAAGGGGCAGATCACTCAAAAAAGAAAATGGCATATGGATCAGATCAGGAAAACTGCTGGACTACTTTAAAGGAATAGCTCCCCCAAAAATGAAAATTTGCTGAAAATGTACTCAGCTTTCGAATATATATAGATAAATTAGTTTTTTTCATCAGAACAGATATGGAGAAATTTAGCATTATATTACTTGCTCACCAATGGATCCACTGCAGTGAATAGGTGCCGTCATGAGAGTCCAAACAGCTGATAAAATCACAATAATCCACAAGTAATCCACACAATGTGAGAAGACAATAGTCAACAGACCTTTTCCCTGTAGGAAGCGTTATTATGGATTATGAGCTGGTGTTTTGGCTAAAAGTGATGGTTTAAAGTTAAAACACCTTAATGCTACATTGGTTTCTTACAAACGTGTATCTTCTGCCTTCACAAGACATTAATTGCACTGCAGTCATGTCAATTGCTTGTTGATTGTGATGTTTTTATCAGCTATTTGGCCTCTCATTCTGACGGCACCCATTCACTGCAGAGGATCAAACTTTTAAAAAATAATACAGACTGCAGAGGCTCAAATTTGATCAACATAATACAAATACAGATTTCAGACAACGTGAGGGTGAACAGATTATAGAATACTATGCACTATGTACACTATGCCTTTAAATGTAAAAATTAAGTAGAAGTATTGCTCAGTTGTGTTTATATTTTACCTTCTCCTTTCTCCAAGGGTTCACAGAACTTGGCGAAATTCAGGGCAGCCTGTTTAAATGAAATTTTAAACAGTGCAGTTTAGTATATTTAGCATTTTAGTACCTCCTAATTTATTGTGTCTTCATAAAGCTGCTGAGACGCAAAAACACTTTCCACTGGTTTATGAGCACCTGCTACATCATAAAAACTGCTACAAGATAACTGCTGTTTGTTGTGGTAGACTCAGATAGTTTAAAGGCAAGTATGATCTCACCAGGTGCCTGAGCTCTCTCAGATACATACTGAGAAGAAGACCCCCAGCAGGATGTTTATGTAGGAAGCGTAGAGCTCAGGTGTGTAGGATGGGTGATGATCCCGAGACAGAATTTGCGCAAGCTCCGCTGAGAGATCAGAAAAAAGGATTTTAGACACATTTTATATTAAATATTCTCGGCCCCGTTTGCACCCGGTATTAACGCTGATCTCAGGTGAGAGCCTCTGATTTTGTGACTGTGTTACTGTATGTTGAAAAGGCTCTAAAAAGTGTTGACAAATGCACTAGAATTTTAATCTCATCACAAAATGTGATTCAGCAGAATAATCATTGTTATATAAAACGTTGGGACACTGACAAATTTGGTCTTCACTCATATTTACATGACCTCACTGGTCAGTTTGTGCTGCAATTATATAATAAATAAAAAGCTCTTTATTACATAATCAAAATCTGTTATTTGATAACCATCTTTCACTGTGATGGTCTTACACTCTTACCTTTACTGTAGTCTGGAACATTAAAGAGCAGAGTTTCAAAGCAGCCAGTGTTGGGCCGAAACTTTTCCCACACAATTTCGCTGAGCAAGATGACAGTCACATTATCATTTACCTGTTAAAGAGTGTAAATATTATAAATGGATTATATATAAGCTATTCTCCAATGTATAACAATGACTATTAACAAGTAAAGTCTCCACAAAATATCAAGTCTTTCTCAATGAAGAAAAGAGAATTTGCTTATCAGACATAAAAGTATATAAAGAACAGGTATTCTACTTGATGCAATAAAACATTAGTTAAACTGAGCACATACCAATTCCTGTAGGCGCAGAAGAGCAGGAAGCAGACTTAAATCCATATCTCTCATGCGTTCAGCTCTGTCCTGAATCTACAGGGACATTATATGAGATTGTCACATAACCTGCACAGACATAGCATTCTGACTAAACTCCAAACACATTATTTCATCAATATTATACTACATACAGTGGGTACGGAAAGTATTCAGACCCCCTTAAATTTTTCACTCTTTGTTATAAATACACTCACTATATATAACGTATCTGAGTTGCAGGTGAGTTGGATCTCATCTGTTTGTACAGTCGCACAATATCTGATAAAGACGGGCAACTTGGGAAGCAATGCTGCAGCATCGGCCCCAAAAAAGGCAGACAACACCTGGTGAAAGAGAAGCCCACTGGACACATACTCAACACAGTCCACCAACGCATGGGGGAG